TCTTCAGGTTCTTCAGGTCCCTCAGGTTCTTCAGGTTCCTCAGGTACCTCAGTTTCCTCAGGTCCCTCAGGTTCTTCAGGTTCTTCAGGTCCCTCAGGTTCTTCAGGTCCCTCAGGTTCCTCAGGTCCCTCAGGTCCCTCAGGTTCTTCAGGTCCCTCAGGTTCTTCAGGTCCCTCAGGTCCCTCAGGTTCCTCAGGTCCCTCAGGTTCCTCAGGTTCCTCAGGTCCCTCAGGTTCTTCAGGTCCCTCAGGTTCTTCAGGTCCCTCAGGTCCCTCAGGTTCTTCAGGTTCTTCAGGTCCCTCAGGTTCTTCAGGTTCCTCAGGTACCTCAGTTTCCTCAGGTCCCTCAGGTTCCTCAGGTTCTTCAGGTCCCTCAGGTTCCTCAGGTCCCTCAGGTTCCTCAGGTCCCTCAGGTCCCTCAGGTTCCTCAGGCAAGCCAACATAAAGAATCAGCTTAACATCTTTCTTGCTGAAGGGAATGGAGAGGTTAATAGATCGACGTGTAAGGGATGGTGTTTTAATGCTATCACCTTTAAGTCTTAAAGAACATGCATTGCAGGCAGGCCTTTCTACAGAAACAGCCTTACATGATGTTGTTTTGAGAATAGAACACAGCCTGGCATGTGGACAGTTTGCGCTTGGCTGCTGTTTGGACATACGTACAGAGGGCATTTGACAATGTACACGTAGAAGCTATAGAAAGCACTTGCCAGCAAAGGCGCGGATGAGACAACAATAAATTGATTCATTTTCATGTTTTGGACAAGGAAAGCATCTTCAACTCTGGGGTACTGTTCGATAACCGTAAACCTCAGATGGGGCTGTCCACAGGGAGGAGTAATCTCGCCCCTGTGTTGGCTCCTGGTTGTCGACAGCTTACTAAATGAGTTGAATAGATCTAGACTCCATACACAGGGGTATGCAGATGACTTGGTCATACTTATAGAAGGCTACTGCCTGGGTACTGTATGTAACCTAATGCAGAGGGGACTAAACATAGTATCCAGATGGTGCCGCGAGCAGGAACTTTCTGTCAACCMGAACAAGACAGAATTGGTTCTTTTTGCTCATAAGAAGTCAAGGAAAGGTTACTCACCTCCAAAGTTGGAGGGTGTAGAACTCTCCCTGTCAGAGTCAGTTAAATTCTTGGGTGTCTATCTAGACAGGAAGCTTTACTGGAAAATACCAACCCATTCTCACTCCCAAGTCGTCACATATTGACTCTTTTCCAAGGTTCCCTCTACGTCCGATTTTGACGCGCCGGGTACCCCCGTCACGTCAGTTACTGACGAGATGGGGCGAAATCTGTTGTCATATTTTCAGAAAGTGTAGAAAATGCGCAAAAACTACCGTTTCGAAGCCTGAAATTACCTTTGTTCTCTTTAGACATCCTGTCCCTGACCCTAGTATCTAAAATTAACCATTTTTAGAAAATGTAGGAAATTCACGTCAACATGTTCCAAAGCCTGAGATTACCTAATATTCACCATGGACATCCTACCCATGATCCCAGTACCTAAACTTAACCATTAATCCTGATCCCTCATGTTAACCTCAGACCCCCGASSCAAAGACCCCTGGTGGCGCAACCCGGAAAAGCCGCGGGCGTCAAGGACTGACGCGAGGGGGGTACCCGGCGCGTCAAAATCGGACGTAGAGGGAACTTTGGAAAAGCRTCAATATGTGACGACATGGGAGTGAGAATGTGTAGAAAATACATGTAAATGAAAAGTGTAAGAAGGCAGCAATGTGCCTACACCAGTGCCGTAGAATTGCAGGTAGTTGTTGGGGTGCAACCCCAAAGGTTATCAGGTGGATCTACAGTACATGGCCATAGTCCGCCCCATGCTATGCTATGCTGCTTTAGTGTGGTGGGTTCGAGTCCAAGTTGGCGTGGCAAGAGTGATCCTCACCCATGTGCAACGAATGGCCTGCCTGAGCATCAGAGGTTCYATCAGAACAACACCCTCGGCAGCCATGGAAGTCCTACTGTGGACCTGGCTGCACTAGATTTTCATTTCTTAGGGGAGGCCGCATCCAGTGCAGTAAGGCTACGCCAATCTGGTAGGTGGAAAAGCCTATCTGACTCACAGCACACTAGAATCTGGGACTGGGCAGTTGCTGCTGGTTGAGTAACTGCAGGACCTGGAGACAGAATGGTCAAAAAATACAATTTTGAGCCAAGTTTTAAGACAGAGATAGAAGACAGGTCTGTCTGGACTAACCTCTCTACGACGGACATGTCTCCAAATCAAATATATAGTATATACTGTATATGTTCATGCCAGTGCACGGGGTGCATAAGCAAAAAAAGAAAAAAGGGAGTATTCTTTTAAATAAAAAAGCATAACTAGGGCTTTAAGCTATAATCAGATCAGATTATATTGATGAGTGGTTCTTTCATTCACACACACACTATCACATGCAATTACTTAAAGTAAAGCCCATTTTCTTTTCCCTCTCTGCTGCTACCGGTGTGCTGCTCAGGATGGGAGACTGNGCCGACACTTGCGGCGGTGCACAACTGCTCTTCTTCTGAATAAATGAAAAAGGCTAACACAGTTGTTTGAACTTGAATTAAAAATATTTGACCAAAGGAAAACCAGAGCAGGACTAGAGAGAGATGAATATAATTTAGATTTTTATTTTTGTGTCTGTATATACGACCCACAGGAGACACAACAGCACATTTCATTCCTTTAAGCAGCTCCTTTAATTCCACAACTGACGCTGCTAAAAATGCGTTTTTTTTTCTTTTCTCGATCTCGGAGTGCAGCACTTCAATCTCTGAACTCGTAAAGTTCTTCTGTTTAGTTTTCGCTGTCATTTTCATGAATGGACACTTCCTGGTATGTGGGACAGGAAACATAGCCTTATATGGTGTTTTTAGGGTGGTAATTATGCTAATCTCCTCTCCTTGAGCACCTGATACACGTTATCATGTTTACGCAGCTCATTTACACACGTTTCCTGAAGATAGAAGAGTTTGTTGAATCTGACGTGACATGTTCGTACGAACCCTTTGTACGAACAAAAGAGAAGTTTAGGATAAGAATACGAACATGTTCTTGCATGAGGCCCATTGTCTTCAGTGTTGGACTAGTGTAAAACAGTGTGAGCGGGCCTTTAAAGAGAGACAGAACCTTGTCCAGTTTGTCCACTGTAGAGCAGATGGTTCTGAACTTGTCATCTGGGACTCCACACACAGCGAACATCCCATCAAGGATGCGTCTGTCGTTGACCTGCAGAAACAGGACGTGTTGAGGACGGGATGTCTGAGCGAGCACAGCCCGGCCACTGCTCTGAACACAACCTACCAACCTTAATGTGGAAGTCTCCCAGCTCCAGAGCACTGAGGATTTCATGGACGATCTTCAGACACTCTGCATCTGGGATCATGGTGTCATACTGGCCTGCTATGTCAAAGTCCTAAAACACACACACACACGTTGATGGGGACTGTGTTCATACAAACTGGTGTTTGTGGTGTTGGAGCAGAACTCACACACTGATAAAACTCTCTGTAGCGTCCACGAGTCATGGCTGGGTTGTCACGGCGATACACCTTAGCGATGTGGTAGCGCTTGATGTTGGTGATCTTGTTCATGGCCAGGTAACGTGCAAAGGGCACCTGAGGAGGAGGAGGATGAAGGAAAACACTGCTACACAGGAGGGGAGCTGTGCCACATCGTTACCACCCACCACACAAGAAGGCTTTATTTATCTACAGTTAGCAGAATATCTCTTCAACCACTGGATGGATTTGATGAAAGTCTCAAAAAATGTCAGCAAAAACGCAGCATAGCAGAAAGGTAGATAAAAAGTAGACAAAAAGCCAAATCTAGCACACTAACAGAGCACACGTGTGCTGAATTTAGCAGCTGAAAGAAGTAAAATTATTACAAAAAGGTGAATTTAGCTGAAAAGGGCTAAAAAGTAGCAAATATTGCAGCAACAGCTGAAAAAAGGCATAAAAATCTTCAATTATCATTAAACACTGAATCAGCAGAGCAGCTGAAAATCTAATATTAGCCAAAAAGAAGTTGAAGGTGTCATGATCGGTGTTTTTGTCTTTATTTTCTCAGTGTTTTCCTCTCCCTGCTGTCTGACCTCCAGCCACACCCAGGTGTTTCTCATTTACTYTTAATTTGTATTCTGGGTCTTATCCTCCTGTCTTTGTCGSATCATTGTGTTTCATCCCTGAGCTTTGTCTCCCTCGTGCCTGTTCCTCCAGAGAACCTGGGAGTAATTTTGAGCTGCATCAACAGCATTTTCTGTTATTTAATAAATCCTTTTGTTCCTTTTCTGAACCAGCCTGCGCCCTGGTTCTGTTCCTGCAAAATCCTCACAGAAGGAAGCTAAAATGAGCAGAAATAAGTTTTAAAAAGGACAACCAGAACAAAAGCAGTAAAGATTTTAAGGGCGTTCTGTGACATGAAGGGCTCATTTTTTACACTAAATTAAAAAAGTATATTTTATAACATTTATTGTGCCAGCTGTATTAAACACTGACTCAAACAGAAATTTGTGGATTTCTCACACATTATTAAACTTAAACATATTTATAAAATATAACAAAACARGAATAAGGTTGCTAGTTGAAAAAAAGGAGAGAATAGCTATAAAAAACACTTGATCCACTCTGAAGAGAGAAATGTAAAACTATCTTTTAAACACAGGATAACATTTTAACCTAAAAATTTACTCAAAAACAAACTATAAACATAATAAAATATCCATGAGAGGAGTGAGACACAAATGTCTGGGTTACATCACACACATTCATTTCACCTCAATTATTTGTAGTGACTGTAACTTTGTGTTGTTTTTCTTCCACACAAGTTAAACTGTTAAGAGAAGAAGCTAACGTTAGCTACAGTTAGCTTAACGTTCTGTCATCCTGCTATCTGGATTAAGCGTAATACTGCTGGATAACTGGTACAGATTTCTATACTTTTCCTTTGCGTTTGGCGTAGTCCATTATTATTGTTGTGTTGCAAATAAAACAAAACATGATWTGTGGATTTAATTATGATGGTCGGGGGTAGAGTAGGCAGGCTGAGAGCAGCGACGCCCTCTTCTGGATGAAGTCAAAACTACACTGAAATAAGGTTTAAACTGCTGTTTTTCAATTAATCGAATGGAAGGAATTTTAATCTTAAACCATTATTAAACARTTAATCATAAGTCGTTATGATAGTCGAGATAATTTATTATTGTTCCTGGATGAACAGTAGCTGTAAAAACCCAATAATGTTGAGCAGAAGAGGTAAAAGTCCATCATCATTAGCTGATCTGAACTCAAACCTCCAGATGTAATCATAAGGATACAGTCAGATCGTATCTGAGGGACAGCAGCTCTCCTCCCTGGTCTTTCAGGTCGTAGATGAGCTTGGAATCTTCTCCGTATTTCCCCGTCAGGGTTTCCTACATGAGCAGGGAGACAGGTGACCTCCATGTTTGAGAAGCACCAGAGACAGACGGCCCTGAGGAGGGTCTACCTTCAGCTCAAACACCGGTGTGTCGATGGTCTCTGCTCCGTGGCGTTTGAAGCAGTTGATGATGGTGCTGAAGACCTTCTCTCTGATGGCCATCTGCCTGGGGTTGTAGTCCCGTGTTCCCTGTCCAACAAACAGTTTGTGTGTTAGTGTGTGTGATGTCACYGAAGACAAACAAATGTCATTTCTGAAGTCGGCTGGTTTCACTCACAGTGGGTAYAAATCTGTTAAAAGGCAGGTTTTTGTGACGTAAACACACGTCGTGATAAATCATTTCACAACTTTTCTCATTTTACTGTGAAAATCTGCTGCAGGGAAAGATGCAGTACGCTTTATTAATAAATGAGCACCAGCTGATCATTGAGCATTAACACAACCAGAAACACATGTAAGAAGAGATCCAAACAACTAATAATAAAACCAAAGCTGTAAACGTTAAAACAYGTAAAACAGTCCAGCAGACGTACGTAGAGAGAGTTTTATAACTCCTTATAATGCTGATTATTTTGGTTCATCAGTAAACTTATTGTGTTGACAGTGTGATGTTAACTGTTGTCTCAGGTTTAAATACTGATTTTCAATCATTACGTTTTCCATGAACTGGGTCAGAGCTTGTTACAGAGTGATGGTGGTCCTGAAGCTGAACCACAGTTTACAGAAACYCAAACACTTTCAGCTGAAATCATTAATCCACCGTTAGTTTGTCTAAATCACAGATTATTAACCTGTGGGCCGCAGCCTCAAAACAACAACAGTTTTTAACTTTGGGCCACAGAGGGCCGTGGGACCACACTGATTTTAAATAAGGTGTAATACACTTTCT